TCCGGCCGATTCTCCGGTCGCAACCTGAGAGAGAGGAAAGTCGTTGCTAAATTTTTCAGACCATCGATCTCACCCTTGTGGGTGTTGTTGTTGCTCACATTAGCTCTAGACTATAGTCCACAAAACATGGGGAGCCCGTGGTCTCGAAACCCGGAACATACGTCGCCACGGGGAAACACACGAGAACATTCACAACTATCATCGAGAAGGCTGTGCCTTTGTCACAAGCCTTTTACTGAGGTGACGCTAAGAGAGCAGGTTTTTTTACAATGATATACACATACCGGGATTCGAACCCGTGACCTTTGACACAAGAGTCCATGTGTGTACCATACATGACACAAGATAACACACCCCCTGGACCGCTCGATTACTCCAACACGAAGAGGATGCGTAAACGAAATGATAGATTTTCGAAAAGCTCTCGACCAGACGGTTTCAACGCCGCCGTGTTCGGCGCTGAAAAAAAAGGGTACCGGACAAACGTCTTCAAAGAAAGGAGGAGCAACACACACCTGTTTCTGCTNCGACCAGACGGTTTCAACGCCGCCGTGTTCGGCGCTGAAAAAAAAGGGTACCGGACAAACGTCTTCAAAGAAAGGAGGAGCAACACACACCTGTTTCTGCTGAGTGGTGCGCTGCTGCAGATTCTCAATGAGCCTCGTGAGCACCTCCTTGTGCTGGTCCCGCTGCCGCCGCTAGTCTTCCCTTATCACGATACGCCCCGACAGGTTCGTGTGCACGGCTGCTTGGTGAGATTCGAGGTCTTCCATTATACCTTCCCATTCGTGTCGATGCGCATCCAGCTGTTGTCGCACCGCTCGCGCCTCCACCAATTGCTCCTTCCGACGCTGCTCTTGTTGCTTCTGGTGTTCGTGTTGGATCATGGGTTTTTGGATCCGCCACTGTTCATTTTGCGTGTCGTGCTTCATCTGTACACGACGAACCATCTCCTTCAGCTGCTTATTCTTGTTGGCGTACTGATTCCATTTTTGCTGTTTTTCCCAAAAAAGGCTCAAGCTTTGCAGCTGATCAACGACGCGCTGGTGCTCATCTTGCTGAGAGTACAGGCTTTGCAGCAACTCCATGGCGAGGTCGTCGCGTTCCTGTTGCTCTGGCGCCGATGATGTTTCACCGCTCATGGTGAACTCGTTGGGGAGAGCCCTGCTTGAAATGTTCTGCCATGCGAGGGACATCGAGACGTACAGCAGCACGGATCCGAGTTTGAAACCAATCTCTGCCGCGTCGTGCTCTGGTGGTACTGTAGTGAACACGACGACAGCGAGCGATAGTGTCATTCGGATGGTGCAGCACCACGAGTGTATGATGTGAAAGAGAGTGTCTGATGCATGCTTTTTTGTCCAGCGTACGTAGTGCTGTGAGAATCAACAACCCCGATCGACGAGCTTACAGTCTACATGTTGCCAACGGATCAACGCCAGGAGCAGCGCTACGCGAAGTCAGACCTGATTTGTATGATGCCCGTCCCGACGCCAGCCAGTGCCGATCCCTTTCTGCTCCCTCTCTGCGCGATCAGATCCTCCGGGTGGCTATGGCTTCACGATGTGCCGGCGGTGGTGTTGTGAGGGAGGAGATGGTGAAAATCGCTGTGATTTCGGTCAGACGACGAGTGGGGAGAGGCGACTCCTGTTTATCTTGTAAATTGGAATGGGCTAAGGTCGCCAAAGTCGAATATGGTTACTTGCAGTTTCGTCACGGATAGGAAGTCGGATTCTGACATCTTGGCTGGGGTCGCCAGAGAGATCATTGCAACAACAGAACACCAATGACCACAGAGGATCCAATCCATCCAGTTACCCCGTTTAAACTACGCGATGATGTGCCACTACCACGAGCATCTGTGGGTGTTGGCGACATCGTTTCAAATTCATCATAATCGCCATCCTTTTCATTGGCACCCCTGTCACCGATCCCCCCACTCCCACAGCCACCCTGCATGCAATTGGCTACCCTACCCCCACCGTCGCCACATTCGATGTCACTGATGATGATAGTGGTGGGTGATGCGGCAAATGCCGAAGCAGACGGTTGTGTGGTGGGTGTTGCGGTAAATGTGTAAGCAGACGGCGACACACTTGGTGCATGCGTCTGGGGGTCGGAAAAAGCTTCAGTGGCGACCGCAGCCTCTTTATTTGTGTGGTAGTCGCTCTGGTCGAAGGGGTCGATCGCAGCGTTGGTGCAAATATCCCCGAAGGTCACGTCTGAAGCGGAATTGATACACGATCCACTTGAAGTGTGTATCATGTCCACTGGAAAGGTGTTGCCCTCAATAAGAGTGTTAACCGAGTCCCCCATCTCGAAGCTAGCCCAGTCTTCGACCGTGTTGGTTACTAGCTGGGTGTCCACGGAGTCGTCCAGTCGTGCTCCACCGGTGTTCCCAGAAAACAGGTTCGCAAAAATCACATTGCTAGTGGGGTTTGCGCTGTCTACCTCCACCACCGCATCGTTACCCGCGTACTGGTAGAGGTCGTATCCAGTGTTTTCCTCAAAGGTATTGTCGGCCACCACGTTTTGGCGAGACCCGACAGA